ATTCCAATTGTTTCTTTTAGAAGGTGAGTAAGATGTTATAAGACATAATATATATCTATTGTAACTAATGATTTTATTATTTATTAGATTTATACAGCTGCTCACCTTGTGATACACTACTGGGGTGGGGTAGCTAACAATAATAATAAAAACAGAAGCAATAAAAAAAAATTCCGAAACAAGAAAAAAAATCAAGAAAAAACTGCCTCTGAATCCATAACTATACCCTTTCATCTCCAAAATCCTTAGATTCCAATCCCACTGTCATAACACTTGCGTAAACAGCCAGCTGTTCATAACTTTCTGGAAAGATTAAATGGATGGGATCCTACCAGATCTTAAGGGGAAGGATCTTCCACAGGGCAGGGGCAGCACATGAAAAGCACAGTTCTTAGGTGGGATTTAAAGTTAGGGACCTGGAGCAGGTCCACTATATCCAATCTAGTGGAATAATCAAATACCCTCAGGGAGAGGGTAGTCCCACCAAGAATCTGGCTCTGTGCCATATAAGGTTTTAAAGATGATAACCAACATTTTGAAAGTACACAGAAATAAAATTGGGAGTGTTTAATGACCCATAATCTTCAACAACACACCTTCAAGAAGTTATCCTTGTGAAACCCAAAGAATCAGGACCACACATTAAGCTCCAGTTAAGTTGATTTATTGCTCCTATTTATACACAAGAATCTAATCGCCTAATGGTCAGCACTTAACTGGTGCTACATTCAATGGAATCAAGAGTCAATGGAATTCAAGGTGTTGGACATAGAATGTTTATGGGAATGTAATGACTCTAGGCTGATTACTCTCTTGACTTCGCCCCAAAGCTTTTCCTGTCCTTCTCCTACAATCCTTTAAGCATTTGTCTTAAGCATCAGAATTGGAATTCTCATTCAATTATTCAATTATTTTCTGATGAGGAACTGTTAGTTTAGTCTTCAACAATATATCTTCTTCAATGTCAATTTTTTGCTTCAGTGTGCACCTGTTTGCATTTATTGTTTTAATGCCTACCAGCACCACCCCTTCTTGAGAGTCTCTCAAAACTCTTCAGAGTCCCTTTTTGTTTAACTGCTCTGACAAACTTAGCCAATGGAGAGCATGGAAAAAAAAATTAAAGGCCTGTTCATCTAATATTGGTAATGTGGAATCCTGAACACCCAACTTCTAGAAGTGTGCACTTCCAATTCCCAGGATTCTCCAGCCACCCTTGCTGGCTGGAGAATTCTAGGAATTGAAGTACACACATCTAAAAGTTGAAAAGACTGAAAAAGTGGAATGTGATATAATCTATAACAAAGATGACGACTTTGGTCAAGGGCTATGTAGAATAATGAACCTAACATTGTACCATTAAAGCACAGCCAATTATATATGCTAAGCTTTATGGAAAGCATTACATAGTGAGAGTTTTTTTTTTAAAAAAAAAACCTAAGTTGAACTGCAAATTGAGAATATAGATTTTTTTCTCCCTGTATTCTCTCATCAGAACATTTTTTTAAAAAAATCATATTATTTTAACAGCCAAACCAATTGTATTTTATCAGACCAGGTTGAAACTTACTTAATTATTTAAAGCACTTATATTTTGCTCTTCAGTCTGGAAAGCTCTTAGTGTGACTTACAGTATAAAATAATAAAAAAGAACAGCAGACCATCTCTTCCCCTCAGTCTCCTGATTTAAAACAATACCATGTTGAAGGAACAGAAAGGGAAAAGAAAGCTTCAGACTTGACTTGAGACTAAAGTATCTGCTACTCAAAATAATTTCGCAAAACCACTTTATTCTTTACAGACAGGCATGTGAGCATTTTATAAAAGTTTTCTACTAGCTATGTAAAAAGTCCTCTCTTCCATGGTTGTCACAGAATCACTGCAAATCATTCTTCTCCTATATTAATTTCTATATCAAATAGGAGGGTGAATCAGAGACCAAAAAAGTTCTCCCAGCTATACAAATTACTCTCCCTTGTTCTGGCATCTTTTAAAATTGTTGCTCTCCAAAGATTCTAATTAGCATAATTGTTTTTCAAAACTGTCTCATAGGAGAAGGGTGAACAGGAAATAATAATAATCATAGGATTCAATAAGTGGACAAAAATGCAGTCTAAACATCTGGCTGATTGTGCAACAAACCATTATAATAATACTTGAACATCATCAGCATTGACAAATTCACCACCTGTCAACTGCAAAGGACAGCTTTAATGGGAGCAGCTTACATCTTGTGACGATACCTCAAACACCATCAAACATCAACATCTGCCTATCACAGGTCTTTGGGAAGGACTTGAATGGAGGACAAAAATGCCAAATGCAGTCCAAATAGCTGGCTGACTATGTAACCACAACCATGCAAATAACAACAACAACAATAATAATTGCTTATTAGAAAGATAAAACAGTCTGGAGTGTGGATGTGGCCGTACCTGGAAACGGCAGAAGAGAAGAGAAAGAACTGGAGAGAATAAGAAAATATAAAGACCCGCAAATAGAAATAGAATGACAAAATGGCAAAAAGAGAGCTAAGATACTACCGATAGTAATAGATCCTTTGGTGCAATTCCAAAATAACTGGAGCACCACTTGAACACCATTGGCACCATCAGTCAATGGCAAATGGCGGCTTTACTTGGAACAGCTTCCATCCTGCGACGATATCTGTAACACCATCAAATATCCACATCTGCCTATCCCAGGTCCTTGAGAAGGACTCGATAGCTGTAAAAATGTCAAATCCAGTTTGAATATCTTACTGACTGTGTGACGAACCACAATAATGCAACAGCAAGCTAGTAATATGATAGGCAGGTACTATATGGTATTACGTTTCTAGGGATGTTTCAGGAATTGCAACAAGATCCTATATCTTGAAGATCTGGGAGATTCTGAAATGCCATAGAAATGTGAGGTATTGTTAATTCAAGATATAGATATAGAGCCAAATCAACAGAACAACAAACAGATCCGTTTCTTTCTGTGCCAAAAGGAATAGCAAAGCAAAAGGAATGCAGTGCTGGGCGGAAGAGGGGAGGTGAAGAGCGAAGAAGTCTTCTTTAATGTCTTAACAACATCAGAGTTTGCTCCTCCATCTTCTTTGATGTGATGCAGATTGTTGCAAAGAGGTCAGGGAGCACTTGAACAAATATTGCTAAATATTATACAGAATAGATAAAACTGAACCACGAGAGAGCTGGGCCCTAAAAGCAGACAACACAGTAATCCATGATTTCAACAATATTACCAGCTGGGTTCCAGCTAACCACATTGACCAAATAAGGAAAGTGCCTACATGCCTGGAATCCTTTCCCAGTTAGCTCATTCTACTTTTTTTTTTTTCCCTACAGTTGGGGAATATAAAAGAGAGAGGTCATTCTTCTCCCTCCCCATACTTTCTGGCTCAGATAAACTCAATTGCCAGGCTACCCAATGCATATTGGGATTTGCTAATGGTAGGGAATCAGGCTTGTCAGATGCTATATTTTTTCTATCCTGCTCTATGGAGTAGAGAGTTGGTCTTTGACAGAAGGCCACCTGAAGAGACTAGAAGCATTTGAAATGTGTATTTACAGGCGGCTGTTACGTATAAGCTGGGCTGACAAGATCAGAAATGAGGACATGATAAGCCGCCTGGGAAAGCCAAGGGAAATCATCAAAACAATTAAAAAACGAAAATTAGAATATTTCAGACATGTGATGCAACACCCAGAAAAATACGACATACTCCATTTAATCCTCCAGGGAAAGATTGAAGGCAAACGAGGTCCAGGCAGTAGAAGAACATCATGGCTTCAAAATCTAAGGGATTGGTTTGGACAAAAAACAGCAGCACTTTTTCGTACAGCTGCTGATAAAAATAGGATCGCCAACATGATCGCCAATGTCTGATAACGGATATGACACAAGAAGAAGAATGGTAGGGAAGGCAAGAGATTCGAGCCGAGGTGGCGCAGCAGTTAGAGTGCAGTACTGCAGGCCACTTTAGCTGACTGTGTTCAGCAGGTCAGTGGTTCAAATCTCACCGGCTCAAGGTTGACTCAGCCTTCCATCCTTCCGGGGTAGGTAAAATGAGGACCCAGATTGTTGGGGGCTATTTAAATATATATATATATATATATATATATATATATATATATATATATATATACACATATATATATATATATACACATATACACATACACATTGCTTACTGGTGTACACCTCTTAGAGAGTGCTTGCACTTAAAGCGGTATATAAGTCTCATAAATAAATAAATAAATAAGAAATTCAATGGCGTTAACAAAAACTTATCATATATTCCAGAAGTGGGCAACCTACTGTTTGTTGTTCACATATATTTTGATCTACAGTTTCCATTAACTTCCAGCCAGCATGAGCAAAAGATGAAGGGTCTGCAAACCAGACTACAGGTAGTCCTTAAATTCATTTAGTGACTGTTTGAAGTTACAAAGGCACTGTTTGAAGTTACAAAGAAAAAAGTGACTTGTGACTGTTTATCACACTTGCAACTGTTGCAGCATCCCCATAATCACGTGATCAACTGGCATGTATTTGTGACGATTGCAGCATCCCGGGATCATGTGGTTCCCTTTTGCGACCTTCTGACAAGGGGGAAGCCAGATTCACTTTACAACCATCTTACTTATTTAAGAAGTTCAGTGATTCACTTAACAACTGTGGCAAGAAAGATCAGAAAATAGGGCAAAAGTCACTTAATAAATGTCTCACTTAGCAACAGAAATTTGGGGCTCAATTGTGGCCGTAAGTCGAGGACTATCTGTAATTTTTATGACATTAAGTACCAAAAGTCTTTATTGATTACAGGATCACACAAAAACCAACCAATGAAGAGCTTCTTACGGCAAGAAATGCCCTAAAAAATTAATCCAGGAGAATGTACATACTTTGAAGCATGAACTTAAAAGATATAGCATATAAAAGATATAGCGTATATAACAATATAGTAAAAATAGTAGTGTTCCTTAACAACTCACCTTTGCTGCACCTATTTGCTCTTTACGAAATTTCTCAAGTGGTGCTATTAAAACATCATCCGCATTTTGAATCTGAAATACAAAACCAAAAAAAAAAAAAAATCATTATTTCAATATTAGGATTTTGAAGCAGTTCAGCAGTTTTTACATTTAAAATACTAATTCCAGAAATGGTCAAATACTCAAGTTAACCTCAGTGAACCTATTACATGAAATATTTTTAAAGTGCCTGCTAAGTATAGAAATCACAATTTAGCTAAGAAACATTTTATATAAATCTCTATCTCCATTTACTAGGGACATACAAAAGTTTCAATTTAATTATAATCTGAATAGAATGTAGTATGCATCTTCAAGACACTTGTTAGTAGTATAATTAATAATTATAGCCATCATTACAACTGTTGCTTGCTACATAGCATCATGGTTGTTTAAAAACAATTGCAGCCGCGAGCACAATTGTTTCAACGGCATTTACATACATACCCACTGTAACCCTGCTTCCCAAACTCAGTAAATTACCCCAAATACTCTATGAATCTTGGAGTTATGATGACAACTGGAACTACCCAGGATTGCTGTTGCTAAATGATGCAGTCATATGATGTCATACATTACAATCAGATTGCTTAGCAACAACCTCATCCCCAATTGCTATCATAACCTGAGGTCTCCTTGTATATGCACCCAGGAATTCATTACACCAGTGTTTCCCAAACTTGACAATTTTAAGGCATGTGGACTTCAACTCCCAAAATTCCACAGCCAGCAATGCTGGCTGTGGAATTCTGGGAGTTGAAGTCCACATGCTTTAAAATTGTCAAGTTTGGGAAACACTGCATTACACGAATGACAAGAATTGCATACTGTATAACATAAGCATCATGATAACACTGGCAAGAATTATATTTGCGTATCATTATGCATATCACAAAGGCTGCCATTGGAGAGCAATGCACCCTATCTATAATGACACTATACCTATAAGGATTTATTTTGATTGATTGATAGATTGATTCATTTATACATTCCATTTGTACTCTGCCACAATCCCACAAGACCACGCTTAACTTCCAAAGCTGTGGATTTCTTGAATAGAAAACATGCATCACTGATTTCTTAAAATAAATTCAGTGGCACAACTAAATAAGTATTTGCTTTTAAAATATGAATGCTCCTACTATATTTATTACCAGTAATCCTTTGGACTGGAAACTTAATCATCCCATCTGTCCCCAACTTCTATATTTGTACTGCTGAGACTTTTTTTCTAAAAAAAAATGCTTATGAATATTTAAAGAGAAAAACACTGTAAAACTAAACTCCCTGAGCTGCAGTTATTTCAGAGTAATTATACTTTACTGTTTGAACATTGATGCATTTCATGTATTTCAGTGCTAAATGTAGGATATTAGGGTAAGAAAATTGCCTGAAGCAAAGTTTTATATAATTATGTAGACATCATAAATATCACTCATATTGGAAGATAAGCACTTAGCAAGACAAATGAGCAAAGGCCATAAACACTGAGGATATTTTATAATGACTGCTTAAGAGGTCCTAATGATCTGAGGGGAAAATTCCTAAGATTAAAGTACGGCTCTTGAAATCAATATATAAAATTCATATATATGGAAATAAAATCAATTTGCATTATGAGACATAATTGAGTGTTCTTTGCAATAGGTGTTCAGGATTTGGTTAGAAATTATTTGCTAGACTTAATATAAAGGCATTATTTTTCCAGCTGGACCAAATCTTCACAGGGCTCAAGGAACTTATTTCAAAATAATTGCAATCCTCCTATTATCTTTTCCCAAGGAAAACACAAACTTGTCTCTGCTACTTCATTAAAAAGTGTGTATTTAGGGTCCTGAGCCACAAATTGGTAGCTTACCTAAAGCTGAATATTTCAAACAGTTAAATTTGTTTTTGAGTTTAAGAGGACTACCTAGCTTTCAATTTCACAAATTGTCAAAGAGATGCTAAAAATACAAAATGTTAAGTATCTTTAATTAATATGAAAACAATTTCATTTAAAAAAAAAACTTCCATGTTACTTTTCTCTGGAACTCTTTAGAACAGAGGTCTTCAACCTTGGCAACTTTAGGATCTGTGGAATTCCCCAGCCAGCCAGTCCACAAAGTCTTAAAGTCGCCAAGGTCAGAGACTCCTAGTTTAGAAGACTACTAGCTGTGATAGCAATCCTGCACTGCTATGTTTCTATGCTGAGCAGAGAAAATGGGAGGTATTTCTACTAATTACTGTCTTCATATGTGCAATTTTTCCATCACTCGTTCTCTCTCCTCTATACAATTCTTGATCATCCAATGATATCTTTTTTACCTTTAAAAGCAACAAAACTGTTTTACAAGTACAGATTCTTTTGAATTCTTGGTGTTCTCTGATCTTGGTTCTTTTCCTGCAGATGTTTCATTACCAGGCCAGGCAATAGTATCACTGGACTGGTAGCTTGGTAATGAAACATCTGCAAAGAAGTAACCGAGTGTCAGAGAATACCAAGAACCAAACAGTTGAACCCCGAATAACTTATATTCTTTATTATTGATTCTCATTTACCTAAAGTCCTTCATTTCAGAATCATTGTAGACTAACTTACTGATTGGTTCAAAATATTTACTTCAGTAATAACATCTGACTACACTTTCGCTGTTCAAACTGAACACTTCTACCTCTTTGTAACAATAGTCATTTTGTTTTTACTGTACTCCATCTGGTGATATCTACATATACCTATAGTATAGTATTTGAAAACTGTGTTACCAATGAATTGCAAGAATAATGAAACCCTTAAGATGCTGCATTTGTCTACATAAAAGAATGTGGAATTTCTTGCAGAATAAAGATTAAAAGGGATAGGGGAGGTTATTAAAAAATACTTTAAAATCTGGTAATGAATTCAAGTATCTCTTATCAATGGATCCAGAGATATCCAAATCCTTTAAATTTAAATAAGTAAATAAAAGTCAGTTCCTTTAAGTCATCTTAAAAAGGGAAACATATACACAAACACAGGGAGAAAGAAACACACACATAACTTTTGCGGTCACCCAAAACCATGCTCTCAGGAATTGTAAAGAAATGCCTATAATAAGTTCCTTATGTTGTCATTCCATGCTTTTTTAAAGGTTTAAGCATTTGCCATAAACCAAATCTCTTCACCAAGTATATACCAAACAATTAAAACAAAAGAAAAATGTAATCACAACTGTCTTCCTTGTGAGGACTCCATCCAGTGAAAACTCAAATTTAATTGATTTTTTTTAAAAAAAAAAAATGCAAGGGTCTTGAGAGAAACAAAAGCATGGTATGGATTTTTCTCTTTCATCATTGATATAAAAGCAGAACCGTGCTATGAAACTGAACAGGCAATTTTCGATGTGCAGACACTGCCTTATGGCTGTATTTTTCTTGAGGAGCTGAATAGAATTTAGAATAGAATAGAGCTGGAAGGGACCCTGGAGGTCTTCTAGTCTCAGACAGGTGAATGTCCATTCTCCTCTTAAAAATCTCCAGTGATGGAGTACCCAGGATTTCTGAAGGCAAGCTGTTCCACTGTCAGAAGTTTCTCTTTAATTCCAGGTTGCTTCTCTCTTTGATCAGTTTCCAACCACTGTTTCTCATCCTTCCCTTTGGTGCTTTGGTGAACGTGACCCTCTCTTCCTTGTGGCAGCCCCTCAGATACTGGAACCCTGCTATCATGTCTCCCCTATTTCTTCTTTTCTTTAGACTAGCCAAACTCAAGTCCCATAGCCGTCCTTCGTATGTTTTAGTCTCAGTGGCACAGCATCACTGGTTTGGGGGTTTTCCCATTTGTGAAAACTGTTGTCACACAGAACTTGGGAGTTTCTTTTAATAGATTGCAGGTAGAGCTCGACTTACAGCCACAATTGAACCCAGGCAGTTGTTAAGTGAGTCGTGCACCATATTACAACCTTTTGCGATATGTGTAAAACGAATCACCACAGTTAAGCATGCAGCCGTTAAGCGAATCCGGATTCCTTCGTTGACTTTTCTCGTGAGAAACTCCCTAGGAAGAAGTGTAGATGATATTCCCAGACCCTGGAATGCTGCAACCATTGTAAATACATGCCAGTTTCCAAGCACCTGAAGTTTGATCACATGACTTTGGGAATGCCACAATGGTGCAGAGTTCCTTTTTGAGGTAGATGAGTGGTTTATAAATATGAAATATAAATAAACGTCCTAAGTGTGAAAACCGGACATACATCACCTTTTTCAGTGATGCTGTAACCACATGGGACTTGTGCTTAACCTCACTTCCTAACCTCTCACTCCGTGGTTTCCAAACTTGGCAACTTCTAAGACTTTTGGACTTCAACTTCCAGAATTCCTCAGCCAAATTCTGGAAACTGAAGTTCACAAATTTGGCTGAGCAATTCTGGGAGTTGAAGTAAACAAATCCTAAAGTTGCCAAGTTTGGAGACCCCTGCTCTAACTCAAGGGAGCAGAAACTTCACTCCTCCCCTCATCCTCACAGTGGCTGGACAATGTGATCTATGAGTTGTTAGGAAAACTGTTTGGCTATAAAACTGCATTGCTAGGCCATCCTTACTGTACAGCTTTCAGAGGGAATTTAGGCACAGGTCTTTAGCCAGACAGGTCTTCCCACTGATCAAGAGTTCAAGATTTCTGCAAAGCAAACATACAGAACATATGCTGAAAACCCCAAGAGGGCTTTGATGAGTAGGGTTTCAGCAATTTATTTCTTCAATGTTGCGTAGGTTTGAAGGGACTTTTTCAGGCAATCCTCGACTTACAGGTATAATTGAGTCTTACAATTTTAGTTGTAAGTCAGGATAATCATAAAGAAGCTCATCATGTGACCATGCCCAATTTTACAACCCTTTTTGCGACAATTGTTAAGTGAACATGGTGGTCATAAAATGAATGCTGCAGTCATTAAGCTAATCCATTATTATTCACTACGGCAAAATTGCTTTTTGCAGAAAACTAGAAGTAATCGCTGGTCTCCAGCAAAAATGTCATCAATTGCAGTCATGGGACACTGTAAAAAATATGGTCACATG